GGTTGTCACAGTAACTGCATGGTCCCAATAAACATGGAGCCTTGGGTCACCCCGGGGGCTGCACCAGGGCCGGGACCACTCACTGTGCCCTCTCCAGTGGGACTGAGGCCTTTCCATGCTGCTGCAGGCAGAGCCAGGCGTCCCGGCCCCCGGTGCAGGGAGCAGTGTGGTGCAGCACAGCACAGCTGAGCTCGGGCTGGGGTGAGGCCAGATGGCAGGAACGGGAACCAGCAGCTGAGGAGGAAGCATGAGGGGAGAGAAAGCAGGAACCCAAAAGTGAGAGCAGCTCTGTCCACCCCAAGGCTGGGCACTGCCCCTGCAGTGGCCAGAGCTAGAAGAGATAGTGATGGGGCAGCTCTGAGGGGAAATCTGTCCACTCCATCCTGCCTGGCAGAGGGGCAAGGCAGGGGCTGGGGGCTGCTGTGGGGAACTGCCCATGGGGTCGGGCTCTGGGGACAGTGAGGGGAGAGCTCACGCTCCCTGTGCTGGCAAATTTCCAGCAGAGCTGATGTGCCTGGAGGATGACAGAGGAATGCAAAGGGTACCAGGGATGCAGAGAGCCAGCTAATATTGGTGTGGTGCTAATGCCCAAGCCTCGTGCTGACGGACACCAAGGAAACCATGCCTCTAGAAGGAAACTGGGAAAAAACCCCACCTGCAAAGCTCTCCGTCTTGGGCTGGAAACTTGACCCATGCAGAGCTGGAAACCAGTTTTGGTCAAACCCCACCAGGCTGCTGAGCAGCTGAGCCCAGAGACAGCATTAGTCCCTGGGGACAGGCAGGAACTATGACACGTCCAGCCCAGGCCCTTCACCCTGCGCTGGGGTAGGTGAGCCCTCGGTGCTGGTGCTGGCACAGCCCAGTGCTGAGCCCTGAGCCAGGATGGGATGCTCACAGGGAAACAGGCAGGTTGTGTCCCTCCAGCATGGCAGTTACTGGTAGGACTGGCAGATGGTGGCACTTGGGGACTGTGCTGTACAGGGGCTTGGGGCCTGACCTCTGCCACAGCTGGCAGTGGGCACTAGCACCGAGACCTTGCTTGGCTCAGTTCTGCTGTGTATTAAAGTATGAGAGTGATGCAATATTTGACTGTTGTTTTATGAGCATTGGGAGGCAGGGACAGTGTTTGGCTTGGGCAGCAATGGTTCATGCTCTGCAGCTCAGCTCAAAGCTGCCCTCAATGAGAGTGTGACAAGGCTTTGATGAGCATTCAGAGCATCCCATTGCTTGTACTGAGTTCCACTTTGGTGGCAACACATGACTGGACAGAGGAAGGATGGAGGAGGAGGCTGCAGCACCTGTCTCCCCTAGCAAAGCAGCAGGTACCTCTAGAGCAGCATTTCATCCTTCCAGTCCTGTGGTGATGTCGATGTGGACAGGGAGGAGAGAGATGAGCTCCGAGCGGGTTCTGCCTCCCACCTTCCTTGCAACACCACCAGTTCAGTCACTTGGCCCTGGTGACTGGACTGTAATCCTGGCTGTGCCACGACCTCTCTAATCCCCATCCGTGGGTTTATCACCAAGGAACTATCAATACTGCACAGGGTGGACTTGCCTGGGGTCAGCAGGGCCCCTGGGCTCAACCAGCTGCAGCTGGGGCCCTGCAAGAGCCCCCAGCTCGCCTGTGCCAACAGTTGCCTTGCTCTGGGCTCCCCACGGCATGGGGCCACACTGGCAGGTGGCTGCTCATCCCCGTGGGGCCACCCCGGCCCCATCACGAAAGCGTCTGTGTCCCAAGCGGCTTATCTGCATTTGGAAACCCCTAATCCGTTTGCAGGTTTGGCTCAGACACCGTCCCCGTTCCCTCCCCACTGCGCTGCCAGAGGGGGGGCTGTGGCACTGGGTAAGGGGCAAAACCACCCCCGTGACCTCCTTTTGCAGCCACAAACAGCTTAATTCTTCCTGTCTGCGTCCCGCTGCAGTGTCGAGCACAGGGAGCAAGTGGGGAGCAGAAGGGGCAGGAGGGGGGTGGCAGGTGCCCCCGGCTGCCCCGGTGCTGGAGGGTCCGGCCCGCCCAGCCCAGGGACCGTCCCCAGGCTCTTTCTCCCGCTGCAAATCAGGCCGCGGCATTTGCCAACCGCTGCCAACTGGAGCGTTCAGAACAGCAACCCCTGAGATCAGATCAGTGGCCAATTAACCCCGTTATTCCAGGGCTGCCTCCCCCCCCGCCGGCTAAACACGGGGAGCAGGGCAGGTTCCGACAGGGATGCAACAGGGCATGCTGGTGCAGGGAGATAAGAAAACCACTTATCTGCAGGAGCTCGGGACGGGACGCTGTGTTCCTGACAGCAAACGGTTGTGGCAACCCCGGGGTTTGCATATTGGTAAGAAAATTCCTTATTCAGAGGTTTTCCAGCCCATCCTGCAGCCGGTGCCGCACAGATCCCTGGTTCGGGTTGATGGTCAAACAGGGGCTCCTGGCGGGGCTGGTTCATAGAGCAGGGACACTCGATGGCCTCAGCCTTTAGCTCAACCCCAGGCAGGATGCTCCAGGGTGAGGGGAGGGCACAGGAGGCTCCAAGGCCCTCCAGGGGCTTCAACCCGGCCAGGGCAATCGGGTCCGCAGGAGTTAGGGGGGATTTATTGAGCATGACCTGCATGAATCCCGCAGCTAATCCTGACGGAGCAATAATCTCTCCCTCTTGGCCTCATCAGTGCCCAAACCCTGCAGCGAGTCCACAGCTCTGTGGCTCTGCAGGGGGCAAGTCGGGGATGCCCACGGCCCCAGCCCGGGGTGGCAGCGAGAGGCGAGTCT